GGGTCAAGACCTTGTTTTTGCTCTCTCTTCCCTCTGGACTCTGCTCCTTGTGTCCAGCATTTCCTCCATGGAGAAAGAAGGAGATCATGTGGCATACAGTGTTGATCTGTTTTTTAAATAACTGATCAAAATACAGGAGTAACACATAGAGACTATTTTAAAAATAAAGTTTTCTGAAATTTATTTCATTGGCATCACTGCCTTGTTTCCACTAGGGGGCACCAGAGATCTCCAGAAAGGCTTCAACATTGCTCCTTCTGCCTTTAAATTCTTTGAAATAAGGTAAGAACCTAAAAGCAAATTTATATTTTCTGTTTAGTGGTCGGTGCTCTCATTAGTACTGTTCCCTTCCTTACAGTATTGCTTCCTCTTTGTAGGGAGTTTTAAATAGAGGCAACGTGGTCTAATGGCTATGGGCATTGCTGCTCAGGGGACCTGGGTTCCATTCCCAGCTCTGCCACTGACCTGCTGCGGGGCCTTGAGCAAGTCACTTCACCTCTTGGTGTCTTTGCTTTGTCTATAGAGGCAGTAAGCTCTTTGGGGCAGGGACTGTCGTTGGCACAGTGCCAAGCATGATGGGCCTGTAGGTGCTACCGTGGGTCAGATGTTATTGTTTCTGCCTGCATTTTCTTACCACTTTTTGGGCACGTTTTCCAAGTACCGTTTGGTTTATATTTTGAGGTCAGTGGGAGTTTGGGCAGGGCCAGGACTGTGGCTCAGGCAGTATGGGTAGCAGTGCCATTATAAAACACCTACTGAGGGGCCTCTTCCATCAGCAGCTCATTTACCAGAGCCCAGGCTGTGACAGGATTAGGGGCCAGTTCTGAGTGTTATCTGCTACACATGAAAGACCAGAGCCTGTCCCCACTGCCTGGCCAAATAGCCAAGCTGGGCAAATGTGTGGCGGGGGAGTAGGGTAGGATAGGAGGATCACTGAGGATAATGGAGAATACAGATCATTACCCTGGCCTGTCCATGCCCTAAACCCAACCCACCACATCCCTGACACACTGTCAGCAGAGGGTGATTGATGGTAACAGTGAGTTAAGTAACTGCTTGATCTCTGCTGTGCTGGGGCTAGTCTCTTGGTGCAGAAAGTCCTGGGTTCTGTTCCCACTGATGAGTCCCTCCAGAGGGGATCTGTCTAGTACATCGAGTTAACTCCTTTGGAGTAAAGCCGCTCAAAGAAACTTGAATTTTCTTTTTTTTCCAATAAGAAATAAGAATACATTTTTCATGAACGTTTTTGTGCAATAGGAGACCCTCGGTTTCAGTCCAGGGGAAAGATTTCCAAGAGCACCTAATGACTCAGGTACCTAAGTCCCAAATTTCAATAGTGATGTGGACGTTTTGGCTCCTAAGTCCCTTAGGGTATGTCTGCACTGCAGCAGGAACATGCTTCCCAGCCCCGGTAGACAGACTTGGGCGGTCAGGGCTCACGCTGGCATGCTGAAAATAGTGGTTGAGACATGGCCGCTCAGGCTGCCGCTCTGGCTCTCAAGCCCACCTGGCCTCCTGGAGAGCCTGGGCTGCAGCATCTACACAGGTACTTTTAGCATGCTGGCTCAAGCCCCACTGGTGTGTGTCTGTCTGGGCTGGGCGGCTCACTCCCAGCTGCAGCGTAGACATACCCGTAGGCAGTTTTCAAAATTTTACTCTACCTCTACTTTGGGGCCTTTGGGATGAGTCTGGTGTATCCCTGTAGACAGGCATCCTTATCTCTGGGGCGCCCCTGTGTGCCTAGACACAGCATTGCAGGGGACTTGGCCTCCAATATTCTCTCTGACAGCCCACCGGCTCTGCCGGTCCCTTCTCTGGACTCCCTTCCCGGGTCTGCTGGGGCTCAGCCCTCTGGCCAAGTCATGCACTGTTCAGTCCCCTTCCAGGGTTAACTAAAGGTCCAGCTCCACGGCCAAGTCCCAAATCAAATACTCCAAGTTAGTAGTTCTTCTGCCCCTCAGACTCCTCCAGTATTCTCTGTTCCTTCTCCGGCTGGATTCCTCTGCAGCCTCCCTTCCCCAGGGATTCTGACAGCTTTGCTGATGGATACCCTGCTGCAGTGCTTCTCATAACTGCCAGCTCTTCTGGCCCATCTGGGCTTTTCTTCTCCTCATAGGTCCTGGCTCCTCACACAGGAACCTACTCTGCTCCCTGTGGGTAGCGGCCTTTCCAGAGGGGCACTCCGCTTTTTCCTCCCTTCGGGGTCTCCTCCTCTCTGCTTGCTTCTCAGCTCTATTTAAAGTGTAGCTCCACCTCTTCCAGCCAGGAGTTAATCAATCACACCCTGGGTGGGGAGCATGACTAATTGGGATCAGTTTCTAATTAAGCCCCATTACACGCAGCTGGGGTCACTAATTAGCTCTTAGTTATCAGCTCATGAGAGAGGCTGAGGGTTAGTTGCTAGGTCATGGGCAAGGCCGAGCCCAGCTTGCCTCAAAGGGCCAGCCAGCCAGCCCATGACAATCCCATCCCCTACTCAACAGAGCTGTGCCTGGTACATGTGCCTGCTGCCTACATAGGCTGGGCTGGGAGAGGTTGCATGGGATTGTGGAAATATATCCGGAGAGCTGCCGTTTCTGGTGTCCTGGCTTCTGGCTGCAGGCCTGGCCAGTGGCCTTGTTTTAATAGTTGGTTGATGTTGTTTTACTGGACCACGAGAGCTGCAGTGAACAAACCTGGATCAATATTTATTTATTTTTGATTTACGAGAACAAACAAGACTCCATCCCGGTGTGGCCTTATGCCCCATATTCTTCATAGTAATATTATTATGATATGATTATGGCATAACTATGATGTATTTTATATAAGATATCATTGAAAAGGTTATGATTCACTGAATATAATTGTCCTATTTGTATGCATGTATCATTTTGGTATCTGAAGTTAGGAATATTGCCTATGCATCTATTACAAATGTGTTTTATACCTGGGGAATGCCCCTAGATGGCTGGCTGGGAAGGGCCATTAAGGAGAACAATAGGTCTTAGAAGATGCTAATATCCCACCAGGGAGCCTTCCTGAGGATGCTACAAACAGCTTCTGACTCATGGCTGCTATGGCCCTACAGAGACATGTGACCAAGTCACCTGGTACTGGACTCCATCATAGAATACCAATGTTTTTCCACTTCCACTAAAAAGTTGGAGACAAAGGGTTCCCGCCATATGCAAAAGCTATTTAAGGCAGGGGAGTGACATCATTGTGGTTCTTCACTGACTGCCCGGCCAAAGGAGACGCTTGTAAACACCTGAGAAACAAGGATTGAACTGGGGGAGAAGGGTTGAACCCCAGCTAGAGGAATTTCTAGCCTGTGAAAGGTATATCTGGGGATCTAAGCTGAAAGCAAGTGCAGCTTGCCCTCAAGAATCTCTGCAAACTGCCTAAACCAACAGTTAGGGTGAGAATTTGCAGGGGAGTAGAGTCACAGTTCCACCTTCTGTTCCTTTCTCCCTGCCCTGTTGGTGGTGAGCTGCCCCTGGTGGGTGGAGAAGGCACAAAATGGTAGCAGGAGTGCAGGGGGCTGCAGTTTTGGCCTGCCCATGTGCAGTCTCTTACTCCCTTCCCCCCATTGCACAGTTGTGTAAAGTGGGGAGGCATGATGCTTCCAGTTGTGAAAAAATCTGTACAATGTGCCGTGAGTGGGATCTCATTTTGGCTTCAGTAGTGGGCGGAGCTTGCTTGGATTGGGTTGGAGTTGAGACTGTACCAGCACATGCAGTCTGACCCCTGAGAGGAAGGATAAGCCAGTGGCTAGGGCATTAGCCAGAAACCTGGGTTCAATTCCCTGCTCTGCCAGAGACGTCTGTGTGACCTTGGGCAAGCCACTTTGCCTTTCTGTGCCTCTGTTCCCATCTGTAAGCTGGGGATAATACCACTGCCCTACCTCATGGGGGTGTTGTGAGGAAAATACGTTAAAGGTTGTGAGGTGCTCAGATACTAGGATGATGAGGGCCAGAGCAGCCAGGCATTCTCAGCTCGCTTCAAAGACACATGGATAGGAGGGCGACTCAGCACTTCTTCTGTGAGGCGAAAGCACTATATTATTAGTGCAACAATTTATTATTTGTATTCATTAGTGTTGGAAGTGCCGTGGTGTGTCTGCTTCTTGACTGGAATCTTTAACATAGGGATTTAGCTGGACAGTTAGGAAGAAGATGGGTAAATTGGGCTTGATCCTGCATGGTGCTGAACACTTTGGCCCTGATCCAGCAAAGCAGTTAAGCATCTGCTTAGCTCTAAATTTATAAATCATCCCACTGAAGGCAATGGGGATTACCCACATCCTTGAAGTTAAGCATGTATTTAAGAGCTTTGCTGGATTGAACCCACGGTGCTCAGCACCTTGCAGGATCGAGCCCTTTCTGCAGAAAGGAAAGCAGGGGGCAATTGCCTGTTTTGCAAAGAGTGCATGGGGCAGGGAATTCAGCCTAAGTCACTGATCCTGACCATCCCTCCCCCCATGTGATTTTAAATCAGTAGCAGAATGTATAACCTCACTTATATTTCTAAAAAATAATTTTCTAAAGCACTGTTCCAGACAAAGACAGTCCTGTTTCCATCACAAGTTGGGGGTGGGGGGACCCTGCCTAGAAGTAGCAGAGTGATCGGAAAAGATTGTCTTTGCCCTTGACCTGTGAAATGTCTTATTACGGGATCTCTGAAAAGTGCTGATCTGTTAAGTGTTTAAGCGACACAACGTGCCTTCAGTGCTTCTGCAGTTGGAGAACTGGTGCCAATCTGATCAGCATTAACTACAGTTGCAGAGGTTTGCCACATCCTAGAGCTATCACTTTGCCTTACCTCACTAATAACACTCCCCACTTATTCCACTCTCCCCCCTCCCACCTTACTCCCTCCCTTGTGTCAGTGTGTGCATGCATTTGCATGTCTCTCTCCTGCTCTCTGGTGTATTTCACCTCTTGTGACAGCTGCAGGCTCCTCCTGCAATGTGCAAAGGGAAACTTCCCTGCAATAGGCTTGGCTCTTCCTCTCTGATCCCAAGTCCACTTGCCTCAAACCAAGACTCCTCAGAAAGGAAACTTGGCTCCCTCCCTTCCCCCCATCTGTCCAAACTGCATAGCAGTGCAGTGCTCACAGCTGCTATTTTTCCTGAGCTGCAGCTTCAGGTTGTTGCTGCCCTACTCCTGGCTACTATTTCAGTCTCTTTGCTGCTTTCTCCCCCTCTCGCAAGGTAGGTGGTTTCTTTTGTTTGATTCCCTAAGATCTCCCACCAGTAACTGCATCATCCCCTTACTGATCTGCTTTCAGCATGATTTTAAGTCCTCTAGCTGGGGGGCGACTGTAATAGTTGGCTAGTGCTTTGAATGTTTACATTTTGCAGGCAATAACGTAGTCACTTTCTGGAATAGGGCAGATGTCTCAAAGCGTGGAAGCTGCAAAGGAAGAATGCTAAAGGAACAACGGCTCAGGATCAGAAGCAAAGGTGATTCAAAGTAAAGTCTGCTCCCTTCTGAACTTTCTTCTCTGTGACTAAGTGTTTGCAAGGGGGCTCCGAATACTGTGTGATTTCTTTGGGGAAGGAACTTAGGGTAGTCAATGGTCCATGTAGTCCTGTATCCCTGCTGTGGTAGTGTCCAGTACCGGATGCTTCAGAGGAACATGTAAAAAACCCCTAATTAGTAATTAGATGATAATGTACCCCGGGGAAGTTTTCTTCTACCCCCATGCACAGTGGTTGGCTTATGTTCTGGTGGATGTGTGTTTATAATCTTTTATGAATGACTGTTCTAGCTAGTGTAACTGTGGCTATTCTTATTATTCATATACATCTCTAAACCTGTTTTTAATCCTACGGGGCTCTTGCTCCATTGTAAAGGATGTGCTACTTGCACTGTGAGATTAAACCCCTTGAGGCAATTGTTAAATAGCTGTGCCTTTTCTTTTTCTTTTAATGGCTGCAGATAAAATAGCTGGTCTTAAAGAAAACAAAGGAGACAGGACAATGAGTCTGCAGGTGCTTTGATGTCAACCCTTCCCCCCCCCCATCTACGTGAGGGCTTACCATCCCTATAAACATCCTGATGACCAGTGCTACTTTTAACAAGGCATAGGGCGCACTGGTCATTCGAACCTTTGCCATTCTGTTAATGGAACGGTGAATGATTCGATCATGAAGGCTAATGCTAACCTAAAATATTAACATAGCACTAGCTCTAGGGGAAGACCAGTGGCTGGTTTTCACCGTTAAGCAATGCTTGGCAAATTTAAAAAGGGAAACATCAAAAAGTGCAGAAGGATTATCGTCGCACAGGATGGCTTATTTTAAATAAATTACAGCCAAGTCTCCCATTTTACCCCAAACATCCTCTCTGAAGCCAGCTTAACTGAAAGCAAGACCTGTGTCCCTCTGGATAGGTCCTGTGTCGAGGTACTGCCAAGATGCAAATGAAAAAGCTATGAACTCCAGTACAGCAAGGACTCATAAAGGATATGGCAACTGACCTCTAACAGTTGCTGCTGATGGCTTTGCTATAATGTGAAAGCGCCACAATGGGATCCTGTTTTATGGCCATTATCACAACATACTGTCGTACAGGCTGTGTTTTGAGTTTATTAGTAGACGTGAAGTACCTATCCTCACTGCAGCCTTTTACTGTAGTAAGAGCAAGCATCCTTCTGATGTGTTCTTGTTTGCTCAGAGAGTAAGCTGGAAAAGAATTGCCCTTGGGGTTATGTTAAAGGTCTGGAGTGATTCCTCAGCCTGTTCCGTTTAAAGGCAGCAGCAGAAATCATGCTCTGATTTGTTTTATTATTGGAGATGTTTTCAGCCCTGTGAAATGAGCACTTGGGGTTCAGGGTCTTTTTTAATAGTTTGCATCATTTTTAGCCTTTTGTAAAAAGCAAACTTTCTCACTCTTTGCTAGTGAAAGTGAGCTCTGAGCGAGAGCTCAATTGCAGCAGTTCAGATGAATTGCCATTAGCTTGAGCTTATAAAGTACTCTGGAGATGGGATGCATTGTGGGCCTGATTCTGCACGGTGCGGGCATCCCCTGTGAGGTACTGAGTGCTCTCAACTCCTGTTAACATCATGGGGAAGTGAGGATGCTGAGCCTCTCTTACTGGTACTCAGCACCTCACAGGATCAGCCTCTCCTAAATTGCTGATGGTGATTAGTTTATAGTAGTATAGGATCAGTGATGAATGCATGCCCTATGCTGTAATAATTTTACTTCAGACAGGGAAATAAAATGTATTTTAGAAAAAGTAGTAGTAACAGACAGATTTTGTTACCCTTACTGACATTAAATGGTATCTTTCTCGGCATGTCATCCTGTGGAAGCCAGTGAGATTACTCATGGAGTAAAGCACTCTTTGACATGAGTAAGGTTATCGGAATCTGGCTTTAAGGTCAAAGATGAACCCAAATCAAATCTCCTGCTACAAAGGGGAGGAGTGGGTTGGAATCCAATTGCAGATCCATGTCTGAATTGCACAAATCACCAGTTTCTATAGATTGGGCTGAATCCATCCCCTAGAACTGACACCTCCCATCCCGAACTTCAGAATGTTAGAAATCCCAAACCAAACTGAGTGGCTTGGGCCCATTTTAATCAGTTCTCAAGTCGGGAGAGACTTAAACACGTGCTTAACTTTTGACTTCAAGGGGACTTCAGCACATTCTTAGTGTTAACCTTTCCTGACTCAGGGTCTGAGGCTGGCTGTGAGTTTGTGCTATTGCATTTCTAAGCTTTGGAAACAAAAACAAAAGTTAGTGAGAAGAAGCTGGAGTGTGAAGCTGCAGGGAAAATGGAAGTGGGCAGGAAAGAGGATGGGGTGGTGAGAGGTGAGCTAGCGTGTTTATTTATGTGAGAGAGAACTCACAGTCAGGAGGGAGTCAAAAGCTTAGTCAGAGGAGACAAACCACATGGGTCAAGGTCATAGGAGCAGGTTGCCCTTCTTTCTCTGTTTCAAATATCTTTATTGATTGAAGATGAACAAAACAAGACCCCCTCCCACAATCAAGCCCCACTCATGAAGCCAGTCTTAGAAAGGAGCCTCCTCTGTCTTTCTCTTTCCCTGTTTGCTGTAGCATTCATCTCACTCTGTTCTGTAGTCTACTTTCCAAGCTGCATATGATCAGCACCCGCTTCCCACCTTGTTGGGTCTGCTCCTGCACCACAGCGCTGCCTGGCTCTGCTCAGTTTTCTGCCATGATCCCTGGATTATGAAGATGTCACATTTTCCAGAGTTCCACACTCCATTTGGCCTTGTATGCGTTTCACTCTACAATGGGCATTTTTGGCCAACTTAATCTTTTTTGTTTTAAGCAGCGTTTGCAACCAATCCGTTTTGTGGCCCCATCTGTTTTCTTTCCCCCCTCATTCTCTCTCCACATGACTTCCTTTCTAACTTCATAGTGATTTTCATCTGTCCAAAGAAGACCACATGAATAAAATGTTAACCATTTTAGCATCTGATCCAGCAGTCCTTACTCAGATACAATTCCCATTGGCCTACCATGGCAGTTTTGAGTGAGTAAGGACTTCAGGTTCATATCCATAATCTTTCCTTCGACCTCTGTGTATTGTGTTTTTAATGATCCTTCCTTTTTTATGTTGCAATACAGAGAGTTTTGCCACTTTTAATTAAATCATGTCTCTTGCTGAATCAACCTGTTAGTTCTGCTTACAGAGGGTAGTTCCCATTTTTTTAATTAGCTTGCATTCTACCCTTAAATGGTCACAGAAAAATCTGAATCGCCTGCAAAGCCTCCCCTGTAAGGTTGAAGCCCTCTCACCCATGGATGGACCTGTACACTGTTGTTCTCTCATTTTAATTTCTGTACTGTATCTAGCTATCACAGGGAATAAGCGCTGTGTGTGTGTGTGTGGGAGGGGGGCTTGAGGTGCTAATATAAAAATAAGCCAATATTAATGGTCTATATGTAAACACGTAAAGGATGAGCTGTGCAGTAGGTGAGTTATAACATCATCTGCAGCCCCATCCCGTCACCCCTGGAACTCTCATTGTCTGCAGTGGGAATTCTGGCCACCAAAATAATAATGAATTGAGTTCCTAATGCTTACAGTAGAGGGTCTGAGACTCGGGACTCCTGGGTTTTGCTCCTGGCCCTGCATCTAGCTTGCTGTGTGACCTAAAATACTTACCTGTCATACCTCATAGAGAGGTTTATGATAACAATTAATATTGGCAAAGAATGTTGAGGTCAGGGTGTGAGGTTCTATGAAGATTTAAAGGGGTATTATTTATGGTATTATTTATTAAGATAACGTCTTCTAGTAACCTCCTTCCACACACTCACACCCTTAGGCCTGGTCCACACTTCGGACTAAGGTACGCAAATTCAGCTACGTTAATAACGTAGCTGAATTCGAAGTACCTTAGTCCGAACTTACCGCGGGTCCAGACGCTGCAGGCAGGCTCCCCCGTCGATGCCGCGTACTCCTCTCGCCGAGCTGGAGTACCGGAGTCGACGGCGAGCACTTCCGGGATCGATTTATCGCATCTAGACAAGACGTGATAAATCGATCCCAGAACATCGATTGCCTGCCGCCAGACCCGGAGGTAAGTGTAGACGTACCCTTAGGTAACAGACATAATGGAATTGGAGCTACAAAAGATAAATACGAATAAGTTAAAATGTTTCTGTGAAGGAAGTTGAAAGAATAATTTCTTTGGCATTCGTAAATAGTCAGTAATGGATGACCATGCCCACAGTAAATTTATTTGACATTCGTAATTAGTCAGTAATAGATAACCATGCCCACTGTAATTGAAAATCAAATTTTACAGTGGATTGATTAATGGTAAAGAAAATCTGTAACCTTATATAATTCCTAAACTGAGTATATCATTTGCCATGAGCTGATTTGCAATTTCCTCTAATTTATTCATTAATTGAAGGAATTTTATTATTTTTAGAAGGTTCTTTTAACTCTCTGGCTTGATCAGACAGCTGTGAGTATTTACTGTCTGAGCTGTGTTGGTTAGTTGGGACTGGTCAGACAGGTGACATGGTATTATTTTTCTTCCCGTGGTAGAATTGAGAATGTCATTACTTCCAGTTTGTCTTCTCACTCCTGGTAACTTAAAACGCGTGACTTTGAAATTCAGTTCCCATGAACTTTCATGCAGTAAAACTTAATTGCATGAAGGTGTTTGGGAAGCAAATACCTGAGGCATGGCTGAAGAAAATTCATTGAGGGCCACATTCTGATTCCCTACTCACATTACTCCCAGCCCAAAAAATGCACGGTGATTATTTGTGGAATTGTTTTTAGTGTTCACCCAGCCCCACCCAGTCATTCCTGTGCCTTAAAGTTCTTTATTTCATTCTCTTCCAAACATGCTATTAGATTGAATTTTCAATAAACACTATATACAGGCAAGGATCTTACATTTTTTTTTATATGTAAGAACCCACTGTTACAACTTACCTCCCTCGCATAGTAACATACGCAGCCAGCAGACTTAGAATAATATCATGTTAAAGAGACTGTGGGCCTGACCTACACTCCCAGTGCACTGTCAAATCCTACTGTAGTCAATGGAAATTTGAGGTACCTGGGCCGTATGGCATGAAGCCTGTGTAACATGTTTCTTAAGGTTTATGAGCAAGATTAACTTTGGTTTGGGGCCCAGTTGTGCAACTCTCATTCATAGTGATGAGCATCTACCCTTGTGAGAAGACCAGCTGAAGTCAATGGAACTACTCCTGGGAGTGAGGACTCAGCAGTATAAGGGATGCACAGTTGGATCGTTGATGTCTACTCCCCTGGGTTTGTACAGTGTTTAGCACAATGGCGCCCTGGTCTTGATTAGTTGTGAGGGGCTGCTGATTAAGAATAATAATGATGTTCTTCTCCCTTCTGAGACTCATTTGGTTTTGACACCATACGTTAACAGCCTGGCAAATGTGTGGCAACGAATTTGCAATGTTCCTTCGTCTGTGACAATGACGGTGAGATGCTTCTTTTCTCTTTCCCCAGGTTCTGCACATAGCAAGTTCTACAGATCTTCTGAGAGAGCACTAGATGGTAATGCTAACTTCAGCGCTATGCGTCCCAGGCTGGTGATGTAACTGCACAAGAGAACTTTGGGCAAACTTCACCATGGGCGCAAACACCTCCAGCAAGCCACCGGTCTTCGATGAAAATGAAGAGGGTAAGAGCACTTTTTTACTGTTCTGTTTAAAAGAACAGATGGTCCCTATGTGTATTCCACACGTGGGATATGCATGTGCACCAGGCACCGCACTTTCTTGCAAGCAGTATCTGTTGTCCTGCACGTGTGCTGCAGCTCTCCTTGTGCTTCCAGCCCTGGGCATAAAGGGTGGTGCGGGCCGACATCTCTCGAGTTCTTTCTTACCACCGCATGGTCTGAGTTGGACTCTTCAGTGTCCTCAGCTCCGTTTTGCTGTGTCATTCCTGTAAGAATTGTATAGAGTTCATTTTTTAGTAGTTTTTGTAGTATAGCATAGCATAGATAGTTAGATAGCATTTTTCTCCTGCCCAGGGACTTTTCCCCCAAGAAGTCTGGCATTATGCCCAGAGTCCTGGGGTTCACACCTTTTCTGTGAGTGACTAACATCAATGCTGTCTTTACTGCCTGGGTGATGCTCACATCTCTGCCAAATGCAGCATCTGTCTCTCTTCTCCCCCCAGAACTCATGAGGGTCAGGAACTGAGACTCAGAAAACACCTCATGGAGAAGGCAATGAAGCCCAGTCAGATCTGGGCTGGGGACCCTCCCCTGTACATTAGCCTCAACAAGCAGGGAGTACCCTCTGAGTATGAGCTCAGGAATGGAGCTAATTCTGTTAAGCCTAAAGAGATGGCTTCAAAGGAGAGAAAGAGGCATTGTCATAGACATAAGGACAAGTTATCTATGTCTAAGATTGCCCTGAAAAGAAGGGATCCTTCCCTGACCCTGTCAAGACTCGGGAAAGCCAGCGCACCTGGGTGCTAAGGTCTTAGGCCCAACTATATCTTTTCAACAAGAGAAGGTGGTGTACAAGGGTATGTATCGAACAGTTCCAAAACCGGCTCTGGGGGTGAAGACTCAGGATAGACAGCTCCTAGTGCTTCCATCCACTTCGGGTACCGAGGCTGTAAGATAGCTCCCACCGGGACCATGTTGCTGACTGCCATGGTGCTCTCAAAGAGTCTCCAGATCAGCCAGCTCCACCAGTGGACTCTCCTCATACTCCAGGACAGTCGGAAACATGCATTTCCCCGGAAGACATATTTACCCTCCCATTCCGCATTCACAGATCCTATTGGGTCCATGTATATTCTGGGATGTTGTTACACCAGAGGAGGAGTCTGTCACAAGGAGGCGGAATCATTCCCCCCTTCCCCCCCCCCCCAACCTTGAAGCACAGTCCTCGGTACTGTTGATCCTGCTGGTGATCAGGGATCCGGCCTTTGCTTCCGATCAGTCGGAGGCTCCACAGGATTCTTTGCGGCACTAAGCAGAGGTGGTCCCAGACAGAAGCCCTAGAAGATGAGGGTTCCAACCTCCAAATAGACACAGGAGGTACCCTATGCTGTGGGGTCCCCCCCTCCATTAGTGGAGACATTTTATTGTCAGTATTGGGGATCATGGGAACCCTACCCCAGACACCCAGGCTCGGTGCACAAATTCTGTTTACCACTGCCTGGCCGTACGCAACCAGCCCCATTGGAGTATTTGGGAGGAGGAAGGAGGATCTGACAGTTCCAGTGGTTGCAGGATCAATCTCATCAGGGTCACTGGATGAGGCAGCCTCTCCATCTTCTCCGTCTCTGCTGGATGACTTTAAAAAATACCAAGAGCTTATGCACAGGGTAGTGGCAGAGCTACAAATCCAGCTGGAGGAAACTCAGGAGCCTCAGCACAGCTTACTAGACATTCTGCAACCCTCCCGCCCCAGAGTGTCCTGCCCCATCAACAAGGCCATCACGGACCTAGCAAAGGCAGTCTGGCACACCCCTGCTTCTTGTGCTCCCACTCCTAAGAGGGCTAAGAAGTGCTACTTTGTCCCATCCCAGGGGGAAGAGTTCTTGTTTTCTCACCCTCTGCCAAACTCCCTGGTGGTGCAGGTGGTTACAAAGCGGCCCAAGCAAGCGCACTCAAAGGCTACTTCCTCTGATAAGGGATACAAGAGACTCAACCTTCTGGGAAGAAAGGCCTTCTCTTCCATCTTCCTCCAGTTCAGGCTCTTCAATTATCAGGCTGTCAATAACTTCAATTTTCAATGGGATAGATAAGTTCAACGATGAACAAAACATCTAAAGTGAAATGTGACTCTGAGATCCACATAACAGCCCCTATTCTGTAATCGCAGATCACCCAAACTTATTGGTTAAGCAAAGGCCATTCATGTCTTCTTACTGCACACACCAGCCATTACTTCACTTTCCTTTCCCAACTACCAGACGGTTTATAATGCCCACCTGAGGGCGGGGTTTGAAGAGTGACCCTCCCCCTGGGAGCCATTGGTTTTGAGAAGTGCCAGGCGAATCCCCTGGTGATTTGAGGGTGAGAACTGCTGGGTTTTGGAAATGATAAGAGAGCTTCTTGGGGGGTTGGCAATCACCTCAGTCACATGAGGAGTGCTGGATTTAAGGGTGGTGAGTAAACAACTTGAGGGCTGAGCATTTCCCTGCCTGCTTTGGGCTTGGTGGGAAAGCTGCTTCAGGGGTGTCAACCAGTATCATCGTTGGAGGGACTTGATAACTTTGCCCTTCCAGGCCACCGTACTAGTTGTCACCATGAAACTAGAGCTCAAGGTTGGTATTACAGAACATGAGCATGCATTATCACAATATTAGCTCTGAGAGATAGTTGTCTTGGTGCTGCCATGATTATAGATGCAGCCTTTCAAATATGGCTCCATAAACATTTCCTGATGCACAGCGAGAGTCAGTTTATTAACTACCATATATGCTTCCACATGGCTGCATTAATACAATACATAAATAAATACAATACATAAAATACAGGTGACACAACATATAAGCTACTGTCCTAGACAGATAAAAGTAATACTGGTCAAATACTGAAAGATAACAGTATTTAATCATTAAAATGCTCAGTTTATCCTAGGAAACTTTGACTTCCACAGTAAGTTTTGAGTTTGGTTCAACACCTTATGAAATATATTTGATATTTATCAGTTGCAAAATGAAATCTTTGAAGTGCCTTTTTGATAACACTCACAATAACCTTTCATATTTTTATGCATGATGAAAGGCAGCAAAATATTAAATGTTAAAAATACTGGAATGGTTGGAACAATTTTGTTTACTAGTTGCTCAGTTGCTCAGACCAGGGTTAGAGAAGGAACAGGAAGCTTTATACAAAGTGGTGTCCAATCAGCAGCCTGCTGCTAGTCATCTGATCCCACTGAGTCAGCAGGTACAGCATCTGGTTGCAGGGCCGTTGCTGCGATTCCCTTATCTGCCTTCACAGTGTGGTGGTGCAGCGGGTTAGGCTCTTGCTCTGTAACCCCATGGACCTGGGTTGGAGCTCTGTGGAGGCTGGCAAAGGATGGAAGTGTTATGGGGGTAGTATGCCTCAGGTGAAGGGAGCTCCTGCAGCCAGAACTCCCTTTCCTGGTTATCAGGAATGGTGTTGATAGGCTGTACTGTAAGCTGAGATTGGCATTCCTTAGTTAGCCTGAAAAATAGGGAGCAGGGGTGTGTGCTGGAGCCCAAGCAGAAACCAGTGCCACCCCCACGTCTATTTCAGGCCTGTGCCTCAGAGCACAATCTACTATTCAAACACCAAATTCACGAAGTAACACAAAACAGCCCTGGCCACTGCAGGACTCTGAGTATCTCTCTTCACTTCCCCGGAAAGAATACAGCCCTTCCTTTAGTCCCCTGCTGAACCGTGTGTCAGGCAAGCAGTCCTTAGCCCTTTCCAGCTGTTTCACCCTGCCACCGTATGGAAATGGGGAGCTGGGGAATGCTGGCCTGCCTTGCTGCACAACTGTTGGGCAGAATGCCTGCCTGGCTCTCCGGAGAGCACTAGGAGAGGAGCGTTGGTTGTACACCAGCTAACGCGCCCTGGACTCAAGGGCATAGAGCTGCCTAGGGGCCTGGACAGCTCCTAAGTCTGCTTGTTGCAGTGCACAGTGAACCCCAGGTGCTGACACACGCTGTTCCTTTGTAAAGCAAGAGCAATTACACACAGCAGTGTATTCCCTCCGCTGTCCTGAGCCATCCTTCCCTGAATCTGCAGCCCCAGTTCATGGCTGCTACCATGCCATTCCCCTACCTTCTGTTTACGGTGCTCTAAGACAGGATTTCACTCTCTGAGCTCACTCAGGGAATGGATTTATGATGATGTCCTCCAAATGTTATGAAATCTGATACACCACTTCCATTATTGCTTACCGGATTGCTGGCCTCATAATAAATGCTGAGTAAGTACATGGACAACACTAGCCTGCACTTGGGCTAAACTGGCTGCTGGCCTCACTCCCTGATTATTATTAAACTACTGTTGGTTATTTTGCATTAAAGTAATTGGAAAAAAGATGGAAAAAAAACTCCATTTTGAGATTCTCCTGGAGGTTACACCTCTTATTGCTGTACATTCGAATGCTCAGTATTGGCCTCTGTCATAAATAGCTGCCAGCACTGACTCAGCAGTATAGGTGGGTGATTTTCACTTTTCCCCTGGCCTTCCTTGGAGTGGCATGGCTGGGAGATTGTTGGTGACAAGGAGACTTCTCATCACATTAGCTGGGTCTCATTCATTTCCCATGGATTTGACATGCCTTGTATAACATCAGAGCAACGTGGCTTTGCTGATGGACACTTTTATAAACTGAAAATTAAATACATTGGCAAGAGACGCAGTGCCCTCTGCAAAGCAACTTTCCTAGCTGCCATTAATCTTTCAGGACAGGTGCTTTCCTGTGAGAGGAGCATTGGGGTTTGTCTGGAATGTGGCTGGTTGTAATGAATGAAAGCTGACAGGGCATTCAGCTTAGATGTGTAGATCCATTATATGGAAAATGGAGTTGGGTTTTCCAAATGTGAAGCACTGTTGCCACATGCCGTGCAGGGGTCAAAAAGTTCCATGAATTTGATACGTATGTTAGTAATGACTTCCTTTTCATCTGTAGACAAGAGAAAAGCATGTCCGATCGTTAATGTCACATCTCAAAG